GGCCCCCCGACCAATCTCATTGCACCCGCCTTGGCTGGCCTGGTGCCAGTGCATGTCATAGTGTGGTCGTTCGGACGGTTGTTCTACTGTTCGGTCATTCAGTTGATTTGCATATTTTGCTTTTATTATTATAGATAGATCCAGTGCATTAAATTGTAGGAGTCAGTGTAACCTTTAAAACAACTAAGGAATTACCCAACTATTTAGTATGCTGTCAGGAGAGGGTAATATGATTTAGATGGAATTGGCTTGTTTAACTCCCTCTGCACAATGTATATTTGTGAACCTCAACTCTGTTCTTATGTAGAGCTTGAAAAGTCTCTTGGCAACAAGCTTCCAGTTGCATCCAACACCTGCCTTGGCTAATTGGTATGCCCAGTTCTGGTACTAGAGCCTCTGTGGAGTTTGTGTTTGAGTTTGACTTCATCAAATTTAAAATGGAGCAAAAATGTGAAGGGCCTTTGGGATTGGCCTGTTGATTGAGAATGAAAAGGCAAACATAGAAAGAGAGAAGAGGGAATGAAACCTTGTGGATAAAATGACTATTAATTTACATTCGGATGCTTTTCAACTCAACTTACATATTAAAAATAGTATATTTTATTTGGTTGCTCTCTGGTAGCTCCTTTCCATATTTGCTGGCATTATAAATAAAGATAGAGGAAAAGAATGACCAGGTCCTGAGATTATAGTGTTTTCTGGCACATGTCTGCACCAAGGTTGTTTATTGTAGACACCATTTATACAGTTTTTTAAAAAAAATGGTAAGCTGGTAGGTTTCCTATCATCTGTGTTCCCATGTACTTTATTATAGTGTGTTCATTTGAACACTTACAAAATTATTTTGTATTTGTTTAAATATTTTCCACTTCTGCTAGCCTGAGGTCTAGCAGTGTGTGGTGTCAATTCATTTCTATTTCCTGGACCTAAAATGGTTTTGGGCATGTGTTTGAGCTGAAATGGAATTAAATTGAAAAATGGATTGCATTAGGTAGTTTATACTTTATCCCACCAAACATAACAGGTTATCAGCAACAGAACAAAAAGATATTGCCAGTTAGTTTTTTATCTGGAACTTTCCTCCTCTTTTCCTCCCTCCTTGTTTCTTTTCAGCTCTTATTCTCTTTACCAGGGTGGAATTAAAGCGTCAAGGTAGGCGATAATCACTGGAAGAGGAAGCTTTCATAGTGGTTCCATGTGTGTGGACTTGTCTCTTCCCCTACTTCTCCTTGTCCCCCCGGAAATACATGGGTTATATGTTGTTCAGTTCTTTCCTCCATGGTACTGGTGCTCTTGGAGCTGCACAACTGATTGAAATAAAAAACCTTTGATATTTTAGAAAATAAAATCTTGTAGGATTAAGCCTTTAGATGAACTAGTGGTGACTACATACTAAAGTGTCTTGAGTAAGCATGCCAATTTGTAACTTGAGTTTTGAGTAGTGCCTTTATATACGAATGTCTCATAAATTTTTTCCAAGAGCAATTTTTTCTGCTAATTGACTTGAGCAATATCTGTTTTTACATAGTGCTTCAAGATGTTTTCAAGAAGTCAACTCTACAGTTGTTTGAAAAATTTCCTTAAGTTACAGTGAGTCTCAGGAGACACCCAGAAACACTCCCTAAATTAGCATATTAATCATAACCTTGCATAACTCAGGCGAACAAGCCTGACTAATAAACTCAGTTACTGGTGGGGATAGTCAGAGAGTTCTTGGCCCCAGCATTTAATCTTATAAAATGCAAGAATAAAAATACTTAAGACTATTTTAGGGTGCAGTTTGTGATTTTCTGATTGCAAGTTTTTTTCTTGCTGTGGGAGCCACTGACTATTTGTCTCAAGTGGAAATAAGAGTCATGGTTAATATTAGACTACGTCAAAGGACAATTTATCTGGTGACTTGTAGAGTAATGATTAGTTTTTAGGGGCTGGAGGGGAGTAGCAACATTCAGTACCTGTTGAACTTGAGCAGTTCCTTGCCTCTGTCCCCAATACTGCATGACCTTAACCCTGGATGTAATAATTTCTCAGTATTCTTACTTATGGGCTGAGAAATTTTCTGGCTAACTGGTTGGAGATAGTGTGATTCAACAGTATAAAAGGTTTATTTTTTTGGTGGTGGTGATGGGGGTGAGATAAAATGCCCAAGAAACATTTGATACATATTTTGTTGGTTATAAAGTTTGAAGTAGTTGCAGTCTCAGTTCTGTCATCCAGTATCTGTGTGTGATCTAGTGAAGAGTTATGTAGCTGTTTCCTTATCTATAAAATGGGATTGATAATACATACCTTGGAGAGTTGCTGTGAGAAATTACATAGAATATGTGATATGCTCAGCACTGTAGCAACGAAAGTTGTTCCCTTCCTTTTTCCTTATTAATTTAGAAAAAGTAAAATATTTTCGTTGGTCTGTATGCCTATTGAAATTTACTTAGTAACCTATCTCCTCCCCATTTTGGCATGGTATGGCTTTTCTTAGGCCCCCACAGAATAACTTTTTGCTTGCCTAGTGACATTAGCTTTGTTGATTAATATCTTTTCCTTTTGGACAGGGAGTAAGTGCTTCCTGTATCCTTGTCCATTTGGCTAGTTTGTTGTACACAATCAAGATGTTCCCTCCTGTCTTAACCTCAAATAACCAAAAGGAAAGCTAGTTAATGCTGCTAAGCCATATAGAACAATTTCATGGCTTTTGAGCTGAATGACAAGTGTAATTCTTTGCTGCTTTTTAGCCAGAATTAAAGTTTAGGAATGTTCATTTTCTAGCAGTTTGTTTTATTCTGTTCATTTCTAAGCTTAAACATGTTCCATAGTTTGATTACTATGTATGGAAGGACATACAGTATTTATATGAGAAATTCTGTTCAGTTGCTATAAGATTCTTGCTCATTTTAAATCTGATTTATCATGGATATACTTCTGACTTTTTCCAAATAATATAGACATAGGTAAAATTAAATTTTGATAGCATTGAAAGTTATTGTAAATGGCTACTATTCTCTACTTGAGGTAATTGCACAGAATATCTTGCCTAACTGTATAGTTGGCCCTCTGTACCTGTGGGTTTTGCATCCAACATAATTTTTGTCTGTGATTGGGAATCTGTGGATGCTGACTGACTATATGCATTTTTCTATGCTATTTTATATAAGGGACTTGAACATCCATGGATTTTGGTGTCCAAGGGGGTTCTGGAATCAATTCCTATGGATACTGAGGGATGACTGTAAACTTAAAGTGTGTATTGTCATATTCATATATTTAAGTAGTATAGCATAGATTAACTCTTTAGTAGAAACATTTCATACAAGAAAAATAATTGCAAAAAAGGCTCAAAGATCTACATGGTTGAGTTCATATTGAATACACTTTGGGCCTTTAGATTCTGATTCAATGAAAAGTCCACTGTAGTCATTTTCTGTACTGCACTGTCCGGGGCTTGAAAGGCTTCTGTGATTGGATTGTATTCCGAGTATGCTTTAAAATCATAGCATTAAGCAACTTTTAATCAAAGCTATTTTCAGTTCTTTTTTGTTCCTTTATTGTAACTTAATGTTGTGAGGGGAAAAAACCCACCAAGTTTTTAAAACATCTTAGCTTTTCAGCCTTTTTATTTTTCTACCAAAATTATAGGTAGAATGAATTTTGTTGATATTTGTTTCATACTTAGAGCATCTGTTAAGACAATGGTGTAATCTAGAACTCCTGATTAATGATCAGGTAATTTTGATTTTTGAAAAGCTACACATTTTAAATCTGGTCAGCATCTTGTGTGAAATTTTACATTTTCATTTAATCTCCCTTCTTGGTAGTATTGTGCCACCTAGCGGAAATTTATGTCCTTTAATGTATGTCTCAGAATGTAGATAGACTACAAGATGCATTTTAACATGTTAAGAAAAAATAGTTTGGAATGTTTGGTTGACTTGGAATTCTTTAGAACAATGATTACTTTCCTAAACAAGAGTTTAGGACAAAAAATTCTTAGTAAGTTAAGGTTTAGTAGATGTCTTAAAATTAGGAGCTCCCCAGTTAAAATCTGTTTCTTTTTTCCACAAGAAATGCCCTACATTTATTTTCTTTATTAGTGAAACTTTAATCAAAGCATATTATATTTCCATCAGTTAACATAAAAATAATTTTGCTTTGTAGATCTTATAAAAATCTATCTCCCCTTCCCCCTTGAGTTTAATTATTGTGCACCTAAGCAGAATGAAGTGGAATTTACATGTTACTAGTATTTATACAATCTAGGTTTATTTTGAAGTAACAGGAGTAAAACACATTGGATGATAAATATTAATGAAATACTCTAAAGAAAAAAATGTGCTACCTTGAAGACAGCTTGATATAATTTAGGCTTTTATCATTGGAACATTTCTTACCAAATGATAAGCTCTTATTTGTGCTTACTTGGAAATAAATAAAATTCAGGATTTTATCATTTGAAGAATTGGTGGTCTCTTTGTCTTGTTATTAAGTATGAAGAAGATGCCTAATTCCTTGTTAGGTGTTGAGTGTACACATTTTTGGTAGCACTTGAGAAGCATTTCTCTCTTGGGGCTGGGCGTTCTGTGTAATCAGACTGGAATATGAACTGTGAGGTTGTCTTCCGTGTACTCGTTGATATGCTATAAAGAATCTCAAGCCCTGGCCCATGTTGCTCAGTTGGTTGGACGTCGTCTCATGCACCTAAAGGTTGTCAGTTTGATTCTTGGTCAGAGCACATACCTGGGTTGTGGGCTCAATCCCCGGTAGGGAGCATGCAGGAGGCAGCTGATTGATGTTGCACTCTCACATCAATGTTTCTTTCTCTCCCTCTCCTTTCCCCTCTCTCTAAAAATCAATTTAAAAAAATCTTAAAAAAAGAACATTGAGAATTATCTAACCAGTTAGAGAAAGTAGTTCTGAATTACATGATGTGCAGTCATTCAGGCATATAATATCTTTATAGAGTCATGGATATTTTATAACGTTTTTATCTTATTACTCTTTCTTAGTTGCTGATGTATATTCACGATGAGTGGATTAGGAGAAAACTCCTTGGATCCACTGGTCCCTGATTCACGAAAGCGCAAATTGCCATGTGATACCCCAGGACAAGGGTAGGCAATTTATTTTCTGATGCTTCACCAAGATTTCCTCCCCTACTCATATTTTTTTTTTTAGTTTAAAGATAACATTTCAACTTTTTGTTGTTTACATTCTCTGGTTAGATATTTTTGGTTTTTGTCTTTGCTTTAATATTGTTATTTTGCTTTATAGTAAGTAGAGTGGTACAGTGATGAGATGGACATCTTTATGATGTAATAGAGGCTTTATCGCTGATTCAGATAGAAGCGAGAATATTATACTAACAGGGTGATACTGTAAGAAGCATTTCTCAACGGAAGAGGTAGGAGTTAGGAACAGATAACTGAGATTATTATAAATAAGAATTTTAAATATTTTTTAAGAACATGTTATTAGTTGATATTTTGGCATTTATAAGGCTTCATCATTTGTTTCCTGAATGTAGTTAGAAGTTTAAAAAATAGAAATAAAATGCTGCATTTTATGCAGTGATACTCTGTAGCCTTTTAAGTATTTACCAAGGTCAGCATCATTTGAGTTTTAATATGATAGTTGCAAATAAAAACAATCTACAATTTATGAAACCTCATTATTAATACTTATCCCCAATCTCCAGATTGATGAAACTGAGATTAATTCTGCCCAAGGCTACTGGGCTAACAAAAAGGTAGATTTGAATTTAGGTTTACATGAATTTATGCTATGTTGTACCACTTCTCAACACAATGTTTTGATAGTTTTATTGGCTGAATTTAGTTTATTTACATATGAAGGTAATGGTGTTGTGTAGGGACTGATTCTGCTCATAGCTCTTTTGTGATAGGTATATTCATGTCTCCCCCTCTCCCCCTCTTCTTAGTCTTACCTGCAGTGGTGAAAAGTGGAGACGGGAGCAGGAGAGTAAATACATTGAAGAATTGGCTGAACTGATATCTGCTAATCTTAGTGATATTGACAATTTCAACGTCAAACCAGATAAATGTGCAATTTTGAAGGAAACAGTAAGACAGATACGCCAAATAAAAGAGCAAGGTAATACAAAGTAAGAAAAACACTCAAGTCTTTTAGAAGGAACTTGTTAATTGTTTACATTTGTCTTTTTGTTTCCTTGTTGCTTAGGTGGGGGCTGCTAATAATTGAGGCTAGCCTCTGTGGGAATGGATAAATGAGTTGACCAGTTTTACTCTTTAGGACTATTAACAGAGAATTGGAAGAAGGCCAGTGTTGCTCTCTCTGTTAAATGTTAGTTCTTTTTCAGGAAGCCATGGGATAGTAGTACATTTAGTAATGAAAGAAAATTTAGGATATCTTTATCTTCTACCCTCCTAGGTAACTCTGAAGTTTAATTTTAACATGTAAAAATTATAGTATCATTTTCATATCAGGAAATACTGTGTATGTGCATATGCACGTGTGTGTCTCTTTGTTCTGGGGACTATTTGAAGGTAGATTTAATCTATCACTAGTATATGTGCTTTTTGTAGTAATGTTTTCTGTCTTTTTAGGAAAAGCTATTTCCAATGATGATGATGTTCAGAAAGCTGATGTATCTTCTACAGGACAGGGGGTTATTGATAAAGACTCCTTAGGACCACTTTTACTTCAGGCAAGTATATGGCCTTAGCTATCCAGTAAGCTGTTTTTATTTTAAAAAAACTGTTGAAATTTTGGTTAGGTAATGAGAATAGAAAGACATTTCTTTTTATGAGACAGAACTTAGTATTTTGAATATGATGGAAAAATGCTCTTATATTTACAATATAGAACTCAGAAGGCCTGCAGGGGAAGAGGAGCATCTCCTTATAAAAATGTTGTTGCAAACTGAGAAAGTAAACAAAAATATAAAAAAGCAAGAGAGGAAAGGTAATGCATAATTTCAAAGTTAATATTAGGGTATATTTTACCTCAGACTCTTTTTTTTTTAAAAATATATTTTATTGATTTTTTACAGAGAGGAAGGGAGAGGGATAGAGAGTTAGAAACATCAATGAGCGAGAAGCATTGATCAGCTGCCTCCTGCACACCCGCTACTGGGGATGTGCCCACAACCAAGGTACATGCCCTTGACTGGAATCGAACCTGGGACCCTTCAGTCCCCAGGCTGACGCTCTTTCCAGTGAGCCATACCAGCCAGGGCCCTCAGACTCTTTTGTGCATTTTTGCATGATTGATCATATGCCATACTACAATTTTATATTCTTAAGTTTTTTTTCTAATTTAAAAATTTCAATTACATTTACATTCTATTATTTTGTATTAGTTTCAGGTATACAGCATAGTGGTTAGACAATATACTTTATAAAGTGTTCCCCTTAATATTTCTAGTACCCACCTGGTACCATATAGTTATTACAATATTAATGACTATATTTCCTGTGCTGTACTTACATCCCTATGACTGTTTTATAACTACCAATCTGTACTTCTCAATTCCTTCATCCAGTCTCCAAAATGCCTTCCCTTCTGGCAGGAATTTTTAAGGTTTAATGTGCATTTTCTAAGTAGTTGTCTTAAATAGATATGATTAACTTAGACCATTTACATAATGTTTCTCTTACTTGAAGTCAGGGCCTGAAGCCCTTCATAAAATTCACTTGTCAACGTTTTTGTTTCATCTAGTTTGCTCCTCTCCTTTTAGTTGATTAGTACATTTCTTTGTAAATTCTCGTAAAGGAATAGAGTAGTTCTTGTAGCCTGACTTGGTATCAGATGGACAAATGGGAAGCATTAAGGATGATTTCTTTTCATTTTTAAAAGCTTTGAAGATGTAATTCTTTAAAAATTAGATTAGACATTAATTCAGACTTTATGTTGACATATACATTTTTTCCTTCAAATTATCTTTTTATTTTTTTACTAGAGGCCTGGTGCATGGATTCGTGCACCGGTGGGGTCCCTCGGCCTGGCCTGCGCCCTCTCACAATCCGGGACCCCTCGGGGGATGTTGGACTGCCGTTTTCGGCCCAATCCCTGCATTCCAGGCCGAGGGACCCCACCAGTGCACAAATCCATGCACCGGGCTTCTAGTATGCATATAAGATCTTTGGTTAATCTCTTCCTGCCCTCCCCTCTCCCCCTTCCCTCTGAGATTCATCAGTCTGTTCTATTTCTATGCCTGTGAATTGAGCGTCTGCCCCCTGGTGGTCAGTGAGCGTCATAGCTACCGGTTGAGTGGTCGAACGGTTGCTTAGGCTTTTATATATATATATAAAACCCTGGAACTAATGTTAATAAAAATGGTGGCTGATAGTAGTTTTTTGTGTTTTTTTTTCAAATTCTACTCAGTACCAAGGCCTGTGTCTTAATCTGCTAGGCTGCCATAATAAAATACTACAGATTGGGTGGATTAAATAGTAGAAATTTATTTCTTACAACTTTGGAGGCTGGAAATTCAAGATCAGGGTCAGTAGGCTTGGTTTCTTCTGAGACCTCTCTCCTTGGCTTGTGTAGATGGCTGCCTTCTAACTGTGCCCTCACATGGCCTTCTCTCTCTGTGTGTGCATCCTTGGTTTTTCTCTCTCTCCTTGTAAGGACACCAGTCATATTTGATTAGAACCCTACCCTTATAACTTTAGTTAACTTTATTACCTCCCAAAAGCCCTGTCTTCATTGAGGGTTAGGGGTTCAACATATGAACTTTAGTAGGGATATGGTACATTCCATAATATCCAATATTAACATATCCCACTTTAGGCATTGGATGGTTTCCTGTTTGTGGTGAATCGTGATGGAAACATTGTATTTGTGTCAGAAAATGTCACACAATATCTGCAATATAAGCAAGAGGACCTGGTTAACACAAGTGTCTATAATATCTTGCATGAAGAAGATAGAAAGGATTTCCTTAAAAACTTACCAAAATCTACAGGTAGGCCTTTAATATGTATTTTCTAAATAAGCTGAAAAAATTTTTTTCTTGACCATTCTTAGAAAATTAAATGTACCTTTTGTGTAGAAAGGCAAGTGGTTAATAGTAAAATTTTCAAATATGATCTTGGTGAATTTAGAATATGGTTTACATTTCATATGACCAAAGTTTCTGTTTTAGTTAAAATTATTTAGTGTTTTATGTACAATAGCTCCTCTTTATCCTCAGGGGATATGATCCAAGATCCCCAGTGGATATCAAGCTGTGGATAGTGCCAATCATTATATATACTATGTTGTTGTTTTTTTCTATACATACGCAATGAATTTTTCACTTAAAGGAAGCATTTTATATCTTCTCTTTGGCATATCCAAATTACCAGCATCACTACTCTTGCACTTTGGGGCCATTACTAAGTAAAGTAAGGGTTACTTGAACACAAGGACTGCTGCTGAGACACTAGATCTGATAACGGAGATAGCTGTGAAGTGACTAACAGGTGGGTAGAGTATACAGTGTGAATATGCAGGACAAAGGATGATTCGTGTCCCAGCAGGGTGGGGCGGGATGGAACGCAATTTAAAACTTACGAATTATTGATTTCTGGAATTTTTCATTTAAGAGTTTTGGACCATGGGTAACAAACTGGGTAAGGGGAAACTCTACTGTATTGCCACCTTGAAATGTTAGTTGTAGCCCTTACTGAGGAAAATGTGCGTAATGAGAAAATATAGCTTGAGTTCTTAATGATGGTCATAGACTGAGTTGCCAACTTTTAAAATTTATTTTCCAAAGTTAATGGAGTTACCTGGACAAATGAGACCCAGAGACAAAAAAGCCATACATTTAATTGCCGTATGTTGATGAAAACACCACATGATATTGTGGAAGACATGAACACTAGTCCTGAAATGCGCCAGAGATATGAAACCATGCAGTGCTTTGCCCTGTCTCAGCCACGAGCTATGATGGAGGAAGGGGAAGGTAAGAGTGATCACATATTTGTGATGTTTATGAAACAAATAGCAGCCAAACTTGTAGTTTTATAATTTCCATTGTTACAATTCTTTTTACTGAATTTCATGTTCTTACCTATTGAACAGCTATATTTAATGGTTATATAGATTTCTTACCTGGTTAAATTTTATTGTAGATTTGCAATCCTGTATGATCTGTGTGGCACGCCGCATTACTACAGGAGAAAGAGCATTTCCATCAAACCCTGAGAGCTTTATTACTAGACATGATCTTTCAGGTAAAAACTTGGTGTATTGCATATATACATTTTGTTCATTTAGGAAATGTTTAGAAAAGTTAACTGTTTCTACTGCCTGTACTGTCAGGCTGTACCCAGTGTAATGAATGCTTTGCATGGATTATTTCCTCTATTTCTTATACAGCCCTGAGAGAAATTCACTACAAATCTTGAAAAGGCGTAGCTAGTTTTTAAGGACTATCATGAAACCTACTTTAATTTTTTAACATATTTGAGTTGTATATATTTTATCTCTAGTGTATTTGATATTAAGCAAAAGTTGTCAAACTTTCAGATTTGAGTACTTGGTTAACCTTGTTTAGATTTTAAGTGTTCAAAAATGCAGTCACCTCTCAGATAGAAAGAATTGTCCCTACTAGCTGTTTAGGCAGGTATTTTCTCTTGGATCATAGTTGCAGGGATGGTATCTTCAGATGTGTACAATTTTACTGGTAGGTGTTATTTTTTTTCCTTTAAATGAAAATGAACCTGAGATGACATGAAACTTTCTGTACATTCAGAAAGTAGAAAGAGATATGTGATACACTCTTATAGTCTACTAGTGGCCCAGTACACAAATTCCTGCACAGGGGTGGGGGGGTGTCCCTCAGCCCGGCCTGCACCCTCTCCAATCTGGGACCCCTCTGGGGATGTCCACCTGCCGGCAGTCGGACATCGCTCTCACAATCTGGGACTGCTGGCTCCTAACCGCTCACCTGCCTGCCTGCCTGATTGCCCCTAACCATTCTGCCAGCCAGCCTGCTCGCCCCCAATTGTCCCCCCTTGCCGGCCTGCTCGCCCTTAACCGCCTCTGCCCCGCCACTATGGCTTTGTCTGGAAGGATGTCTGGAAGGTCTCCTGGTCTATTTAGCATATTACCCTTTTATTAGTATAGATATAGCAAAACATTTAATGTAAGAGTTTCCTGAAGGACTGTGTCTTTAACCCATTGTATGCCATAAGCATCTGTAGTCGCAAGTGGTGGACCTTCCTCACATGCCTCGCACATCTATAAAAAAATGTTTTCCCTAAGTGGCAGCCCTGACCAACTTTAAAATCATTTTTGTGTGTGAGAATTTTCAGCTGAAAATATTCAAGAACACCCGAATTGTGAGTGATATATTTATTTTGTAATATTCATTGCAAATTGATTTTTTAAAATTAAATTCAAAATATCGTGGCATGTGGGGATGGTTTCCATTTTGGACACGTGGCAGTTAACTGGTTAAAGAGAAAAGGTTTGGATACAGCGGAAATTTGGATCAAAGATGGTGGAACAAAGATTTAGTGTCTTTATTTTTTTAGTGGGAAGCCATGTAATATGCAACCAGTAAATACTTGTTGGTTGGATTTAAATTCTTATTTTCTGTTTAATAGGAAAACTTGTCAATATAGATACAAATTCACTGAGATCCTCTATGAGACCTGGCTTTGAAGATATAATTCGAAGGTGTATCCAGAGATTTTTTAGTCTTAATGATGGGCAGTCATGGTCTCAGAAACGTCACTATCAAGAAGGTAAAGAATTTTAAGGAAGATTCTTGATATTGTTTGTCATTCTGTTTGGCGTGCTATAAAGTAGAAGTACAAACATGACCGTAGTTGTTGTTTTGTGCCTGTGGGATAGGAAAATTATTCTTGAGCATTCTTAGTTTAGCCTGTTCATAATTTTGGTGCTGATCCAGTCTTTCACTGGAAATGTTGCATTTGAAGTATATTTCTTTTCTATATGTATCTGTTTGTAATTGTAGTTATTAGTAACAGGGTATTTTCTCCAACAGCTTATATTCATGGCCATGCAGAAACTCCAGTGTATCGATTCTCTTTGGCTGATGGAACTATAGTGACTGCACAAACAAAAAGCAAACTCTTCCGAAATCCTGTAACAAATGATCGTCATGGTTTTGTCTCAACCCACTTTCTTCAGAGGTAATGATAGATAACTAACTGTATATTCTCATATTAAATGCAGCAGTGTTCTCAAGATGTTTTATTAATGTAAAAAGAGAAAAAATTTAACAAGAGTAAAAGCAAGAAGGATGTTGGATTTACCAGTAAGTTTAGATTCCTAGATTATAGGTTTTCTTTAAGGTTGTATTTTAATGTGAAAATGGTATTTGTTCATTAATAATTACTTCCTGGGAAATCTCGGAACTGGGAAGGCTAGTGGATAAAAGAGCAAATAAAATCTGACAACCTCTGTTACCTTTCATTTTCAATGATATATTAAATTGCTCTAAGGTCGAATTTAAAATTTGAAGGTAGACTTTAAGAATAGTTACTATTGCTGTTGCTAATGGTAAATGAACAACACTTAGAGGAGTATCACTCATTATCGAGCAGTTTGCTGGCATCTCCAGGTTAACACCAAGGTGGACAGCAACTCGAGTAGAGCCTTGCTGAGGTTCCAGTTAACATAGCTGTTGGCCCTTTGCCGTGCTGTGGTGGTGTCACTCATTTAGATTTTGTGGCTTATTAAAGAGTATATCATTAGGTTAATAAATGGTCAATATCTAGATTGGAATTGTCCCTAGGTATCAGAATGATGCCTAAGAAGTTAAGTTCCTGGGCACTTCATCCTTTTTTGAAAATCTGATTCAGGGCTTTAACGCATGCCTGTCAGTTTTTTCTCTTTTTTTTTGCAGGGAACAGAATGGGTATAGACAGAACCCAAATCCTGTTGGACAAGGCATTAGACCTCCAGCGGCTGGATGTAATTCGGTAGGTGGCATGAGCATGTCACCAAACCAAGGCTTACAGATGCTGAACAGCAGGGCCTATGGCTTGGCTGACCCTGGCACCACAGGGCAAATGAGTGGAGCTAGGTATGGGGCTTCCAGTAACATAGCCACAATGAACCCTGGGCCAGCCATGCAGTCACCATCTTCCTACCAGAACAACAACTATGGTCTCAACATGAGTAGCCCCCCACATGGGAGTCCTGGTCTTGGCTCCAACCAGCAGAATATCATGATTTCTCCTCGTAACCGCGGGAGTCCGAAGATGGCCTCACATCAGTTTTCTCCTGTTGCAGGTATTCCTGTTGGCATTTCCTTTTCTTTTTTTCTTTTTCAGAAATCCCTTTCTTTCCAGACCACTGTAATTCTTATGAAGTTAATTTATTTTATAATAGAAACTCTGAAGAGTTAAGTGGTATTTTGTTTTACAGCATTTGATAGTCTATTTCTTTTCCTCATTTTTCTCCAAATCCAGGTGTGCACTCTCCTATTGGATCTTCGGGCAATACTGGGAGCCACAGCTTTTCCAGCAGCTCGCTCAGTGCCCTTCAAGCTATCAGTGAGGGTGTGGGGACGTCTCTTTTATCTACTTTGTCTTCACCAGGCCCTAAATTGGACAACTCTCCCAATATGAATATAACTCAACCAAGTAAAGTGAACAGTCAGGATTCAAAAAGTCCCTTAAGCTTGTATTGTGACCAGAATCCAGTGGAGAGTTCAATGTGTCAGTCAAATAGCAGGGATCACCTCAATGACAAAGACAGTAAGGAGAGCAGCGTTGAAGGATCAGAGAATCAGCGGGGTCCTCTGGAAAGCAAAGGTCATAAAAAATTACTGCAGTTACTTACCTGTTCTTCTGATGACCGGGGTCATTCCTCTTTGACCAACTCCCCCCTGGATTCAAGTTGTAAAGACTCTTCCATTAGTGTCACCAGCCCCTCTGGGGTCTCCTCTTCAACATCTGGAGGAGTGTCCTCCACATCCAGTATGCATGGGTCACTGCTGCAAGAGAAGCACCGGATTTTGCACAAGTTGCTGCAGAATGGCAATTCACCAGCTGAAGTGGCCAAGATCACCGCAGAAGCCACTGGAAAAGACACTAGCAGTGCAACATTCTGTGTGGAAGGAAACGTCAAGCAGGAGCAACTAAGTCCTAAGAAGAAGGAAAATAATGCCCTGCTCAGATACCTGCTAGACAGGGACGATCCTAGTGACACACTCTCTAAAGAAGTACAGCCCAAAGTGGAGGGAGTAGACAACAAAATGAGTCAGTGCAGCAGCTCCACCGTGCCTAGCTCGAGCCAAGAGAAAGACGCTAAAATTAAGACAGAAGCAAATGAAGAGGTAATTCGTTTTCTATATATTCCAGCTTAGTCATTGTGTTTCATCCTTGCATTTCTGTGTTAGAAAGACAATGTTTTATACATAAATTCTTATCTTGTATTTTATGTTTATTTAATGGAAGTTAATCTTGAGTTATCATTTCTTTGTAATTCTTTTGGGCATCAGTAAAGTGTATTATGATGCAATTTAGAAATACCAGGTTATATATTTTAAAATGTGACTATAACTTGTTACCAGCCAATTTGAAATTTTTCATGGAGGTGTTTATTGTTAGAATGAGCAGATTGGGTCATTAGGGCATAGTAGAAAGAAACCAGGGGAGTGGGGGTGAGGATTTATATTAAGCAACAGCATTTTGATTTTTACCTAAAATCACATTTTATGTACACGATCACATTCTATATAAGCACTTCCTAAACTTTGCTTGAGGAACACTATTCTGGGAGACGTTAATATGTGCCTGAGAAAATTAAAGTCTTGGAAAAGTCCTACTGTTAGGATGTCCATTTAACTTTATTTAACCTAGTATTCTCCAAATTTATTGACCAAAAGCTCCTTTTAAAGCATGCCTATGAATACTGTGTTGAATATCAGCTTGTTGCTTTTGTTATTAATCATACTTGTTTTCAGAAGGTATGTGTAGATGCAGACATCTATGTCTGCTACTGATCCTGACTAAAGTTAGCTGGGAAACGTTCTACAGTTTGAGAATTAAATACCTACTGCAAATTAAGGAAATGCCCCTTTGAAAGCAGCTCCAAAACCAGGGATTTGTCTTAGTAGTTTATATTGTTCTTTCATGGAAGAAGACTAGGGGAGGTCATAACTAGCCAGCCTTTAAGTTGAGAGTTACCGTTTCAGGTAACCATTGTATTTTACTTGTTCACCCATTTTATCTATTTTCTTCCAATGAATATGGTTATACCTATATATCTAGTAATGTACATAGGTTAATCTTTAAAATTTTATTTTCAGGGATCTGGAGATTTGGATAATCTAGATGCTATTCTTGGGGATCTGACTAGTTCTGACTTTTACAGTAATTCCGTATCCACAAATGGTAGTAATCTGGGAACCAAGCAACAAATGTTTCAAGGAACTAATTCTCTGGGTAAGAAAGAATTTTATTCTTGCTGCCTTTTAAACTTTTTTGCATACTTGCATGTACTCTTACATTAAGACTAGCGTCCAGCTGGCATATGTAACTTCAAAATGCCTCTCAGTTTCTCATACTAATTTGTAATTACATGTTTTAAAAAACTTTGGGGACATTTTCCTATTTAAAAAAAATTTCCAGTTTTTTAACTAATATGATGCCAGTAGTCATGGCACTTTCAGGAAAATGTTCATCTTTGATTGGTCCAGATGAATAGTAGTTGCTAGGGCATATATTTTTCTAGGCACAGAGAATCAGATTAAAAAGCAACCAAAATTGTAGCTCAAAACCTGTCCTTCGATACTTATGGAATCTTGTCATTAATTATGAGACTCTTCTTATTTGGTGTTTGCTGGTTCCAGCTTCTCTTCTATAGCCATGTCTTTTCCTTATCCATCAATTTAATACAGATATATTGTATGTATCAATTGAAAAAGAATAATTCACAGTTATCTGAATGGTGGTTATTCATTTTCACTAGCACTATTTCCTAAATTGAAATGGATAATCAGATCAATGAAATAGACTGGGAAAAAAAGAAAAAGGTTAGGAAATTTTATGTTTCATTCCTTGTTGGATTAGAACGCAACTTACCTGGTTATACCTACTTGTAAAATTTTAAACAGAGAAGCCATTTAATATATAGACATAAGGGAAGAACCTTTAAACATTGGTAACATTTTCAGTATTAAGTGAAGTGGAATAGGAATGACCATATCAGGCTATAGATCATTGCCCACTACTTCAGCCAACATTGAGGCTCTTGTTTCTACTTTGCTTGGAATACAAGTTTTTAAATTTTTTTTTATTTAGTGTTTATATTGTAAAGGAGGACAGTGTTTGTTTTAGTAAGAAAGACATTCTTGGGTGGGTGGTATTGTATTTATGTCTTATTCTTGATTATTCATGTATTGAATCATCAGAGGATATTTATATGTATTGTGCTTCTGTGTTTACAACAGGTTTGAGGAGTCCACAGTCTGTTCAGTCCATTCGTCCTCCATACAACCGAGCAGTGTCTCTAGATAGCCCTGTTTCTGTTGGCTCAAGTCCTCCAGTAAAGAATATCACTGCTTTCCCCATGTTACCAAAGCAACCCATGTTGGGTGGGAATCCAAGAATGATGGATAGTCAGGAAAATTATGGTTCAAATATGGGTATGTTATTTCTAATTAGTATTTGTGATTAAAATTTTCTTTTGGGAAAAGCAAATTTAACACTTAAAACCAGTTAAGTAACTGGGATTAAGTAATAGGTTTTTGAATAAAAGTAGTAGCATAATGTTTCTTTCATGAGTATTTCCTTCATTTAATCTATGTCTTGGTTATTTAAACTTTTCAGGAGGTTTTTGGTCTAAGACATTTTCTAACCTGTAATTGAATACATAGTGACCCATGAAAAATGTCTTAATAACTAGCTAGCCCTATTCTTAGGATGACAAAGTACTTTTTTGTACTGGCTAATGTTGTATATGATAACTTTACCTATTTGATAGAAGAAGGATTTCTTATAATATGGAAAAGACCTAATCCTTTCTACCTGTTGTAGGTGGACCAAACAGAAACGTGACTATGAATCAGACTCCTTCCTCTGGAGACTGGGGCTTGTCAAACTCAAAGGCCAGTAGGATGGAATCCATGAGTTCAAATTCCATGGGAAGACCAGGAGCAGATTTTAATGCTTCTTTACCCAGACCTACAATGGGTGGCTCGATGCCCACCTTGCCTCTTCGGTCCAATAGCATTCCTGGTGCAAGACCAATGTTGCAGCAGCAACAGCAGCAGCAGCAACAGCAGCAACAGCAACAGCAACATCAACAGCAACAGCAACATCAGCAGATGCTTCAAATGCGTAAGCATCCCCTTCATAAAAAAGAAAATTAGATGTTTTAGAGTAATTTTTGCTATTGGCTTATTTGAAAATTTATTCTTTTTGTCCCCCCAGGGCCTGGTGAAATTCCCATGGGAATGGGGGTCAGTCCTTATGGCCCAGCAGCACCATCTAACCAATCAGGTTCCTGGCCAGACGGCATGTTGTCCATGGAACAAGGCCCTCATGGGACTCAAAATAGGTGGGGGCTTATTATGTGACTCTAGAGAAAGTTAGCCTCGGATTATCTAGAAAAGGATCAGAACAGAGGAACAAACCTGAAAGAGAATGAGAAAAACTCACTAATTAGGTACTCAGTTGCTATATGGTCGTTTCTCAAATAATTGTATGTAAAAACAAGGCTGAGGCAGCAAGCAGTGGTGTTCATGGGAGAGGGAGGAGATGGAGCTATATTGTTCAGCTACCAGGACTCTTTGAATGGTCAAACCTGGGACTTCTGTGAGGTAGTTGTCTCTCATAATATAATCCTCCTCCATGAGAAGGAGGGTAAATTAGCACCAGTTTTATAAGATAAATGGTGTTCAGAGGATAAATAAGCCTATTTTTTATGGAAAATTAATTTTTAAGGATTGGATTAATTCTTTTAAAAAATTAAAACATTTCAGGGATTATGGTGACAATGAACTATACATAGCAAGCACTCTTAAAAAAGAAGGATTGTGGATTATGTTTATATTTCATTTTTATTTAGCTTGGTTGGTAGTAACCTATTTGCATGAAAGAGGCTACCTGTCAATGTCAATTCTAACTTGAATTCTATAATAAATCAAGCTAAGAAAAAATGAATTGATCTATTGAGTAGTTTGTGATGTAACCATATGAATTTGTTACAAATTTTTTAAAAATATGTTTTTATGGATTTTAGAGAGGGAGAGAGGGAGGGAAGGGAGGGAGGGAGGGAGGGAGAGAGAGAGAGAGAGAGAGAGAGAAACATCCATGGAGGAGAGAAACATCAATCCGGTTGCCTTCCATACCCACCCCAACTGCGGATTGAACCCACAACCTAGGTATGTGCCCTCACCGGGAATCAAATCAGCGACCTTTCCGTGCATGGGACAGTGGTCATTCAACTGGCCAGGGCATGACATGAATTTATTAACTTGAGTGTTTCTTTACCTAGTAGAGAACAAATAGTTTCATCACAGAGTTTTTCTGAGTCAGGAGAATTGTCTAGTTCCATGCCCGTTTAATGTGCTTGAGAACTGGCACCTTGCTGTGGTGTATGGAGTTTGTATTATACCTGTCACTGCATAAGCTCTGTGGGCCAAGTATAACAAAAAGTCATTTTGGCAGGATACCAGGCTCAGTTCATTGATAGTGCAATGTTTCTATCTTTTTTCCTGTTCTTTTGTTGATTTCTCAATTTACATGACTATTACCACTTTTATTCTTGTAGGGTCTTGAAAACTGCACCCTCCACCCCCACTCCAGTCTTTGCTATCCCCCAAATGTCTAGGGGTCTAGCAGTTACAGTTTAGTGATGGGAGGGGGGAAACCTAAGCTAGATATGATGGTCTGGTGAATTTAAAATTGTGGGCCTTGCCTGGCCTGTGTGGGTCAGTGGTTGAGCATCAACCAGGAGGTCACAGTTCGATTCCCGGTCAGGGCACATACCTGGGTTGCTCATTCCCCAGTGTGGGGCGTGCAAGACGCAGCCGATCAATGATTATCTCACATCATTGATGTTTCTCTCTCTCTCTTCCTTCCTCTCTGCAATCAATAACTATATTAAACAAAAAATAAATAAAATAAAATTGTGGGCCTTAAATTTAAATTGATATCATTTCCTATTCTCTGCTACTCAGTTTATTATTAGGTGTACCAGTTAATAATGCGGATTTTTTTTCAATAGATGGAGTTACACATATGATGATATATATGCGATTTGATATGTATGCTATTTTGTTGTATTGACAGCAGGCGTCAAAACTTCATATGTCAAATTTGCTGAAAGTGTTAACATCATAGATATTTTTACGCTTAAAAATGTCGAATTTCGTGCCAAAAAAAGAGCACTTGCGGGAAGTTTTAATTCATTACTTTATTTTGAAGAAAAAGTTATCGTATACTTCGAGAAGCTTTATGGTGAACATGCTCCATCTCAAGATACTTGTGAACGCTGGTTTAAATGCTTTAAAAGTGATGATTTCGATGTGAAAGACAAAGAATGTCCAGGTCAACTAAAAAAGTTTGAAGACCAACAATTACAAGCATTGTTGGATGAAGATGCATGTCAAACTCAAAAACAACTTGCAGAAAGATTAAACGTTGCTCAGCAAACAATTTCCGATCGTTTACAAGCAATGGGAAAGATTTTAAAGGAAGGAAAATGGGTGCCACATCAACTGAATGAAAGACAAATGGAAAACTGAAAAGTCAGCAGTAAATTGTTGCTTCAACGGCATGAAATAAAGTCTTTTTTTGCATCGAATTGTGACTAGCGATGAAAAGTAGATTTATTTTGAGAATCCCAAATGCAGGAAATCATGGGTTGATCCAGATCAACCATCAACATAGACTGCAAGGCCAAATCGCTTCGGAAAGAAGACAATGCTCTGCGTTTGGTGGGATCAGGAAGGTGTGGTGTATTATGAGCTTCTAAAACCAGGTGCAACCGTTAATACTGATTGCTACCGACAACAAATAGTCAATTTGAACCATGCTTTGATCGTGAAACGACCAGAACGTGCCAGAAGACACGGCAAAGTAATTTTGCTTCATGATGACGCACCATCACACACTTCAAAACCAGTTAAAGACACGTTAAAAGATCTTGCTTGGGAAGTATTAACCATCCGCTATATTCACCAGACCTTGCTCCTTCAGATTACCACTTGTTCCGATTGATGGCACATGCACTTTCTGAGCAGGACTTCAAAATGTACGAAGAAGTGCAAAATTGGGTCTCTGAATGGTTTGTCTCAAAAGAAAAGTTCTATTGGGACGGTATCCACAAATTACCTGAAAGATGGGGGAAATGTGTAGCTAGCGATGGACATTACTTTGAATAAAGCACTTTTGATGTTTTTCTTGAAATTATTGTGTTTTCTTTGATTACAGAATCCACCATTATTAACCAGTACACCTAGTATTTATACTTAGTGTTTGAGTATTTGTTGCATATTAAAAATATTATGTGTAATTGTGATATTTTATTTTAAAGAGGAAAAGCATCATTGTAATTGCAAGTCTCTTTTTAGGCCACTCTTCAGGAATTCTCTGGATGATCTTCTTGGGCCACCTTCTAACCTAGAAGGACAGAATGATGAAAGAGCATTGTTGGACCAGCTGCACACACTCCTAAGCAACACCGATGCCACAGGCTTAGAAGAAATTGACAGAGCTCTGGGCATCCCTGAACTTGTAAATCAAGTAGGTAGCGTTAACATGGAAATAGAAGAACATGTGTACACATCCCTGAAGCTATGCAGGTGCCTGTGTGTCTTTCAGGTTACTTGTGTTACAGCACTACCTTCGTATATACCAGCATTTAATTGAAAAAATGTACTTTATAATTGTGATATTATTTCCAGCACCCTACTATTTTATAAAGATGTCAGATTTTAGGCAACTATGGAAATGATCCAATAAAGCTACTGTGTAGTATTAAGAATGTTGCTTTCTACTTATGTTAGGTAAGTAACATAACTTGTTTTGTTAATCCTCACCTGAGGATATTTTTTCCATTGACTTAGAGTGGAAGGGGAGGGAGGAGAGAAGGGGAAGTGAGAGAGGGAGAGAGAAGCATCAATGTGAAGGAGACACATCTATTGGTTGCCTCCCACATGCTCTCTGACTGGGGCTGGGGATCGAACTTGCAACCCAGGTATGTGCCCTTGACCGGTAATTGAACCTTTGACCCTTGGGCTGACGCTCTACCCAAATAGCCACACCGGCCAGGGTAGTAACATAACTTTTTATTTTATTTTTTAATTTTTTCAATTACAGTCTACGTAAGAGTCCTCATTTTTATTATTTTTAATCCTCACCGGAGGATATGTTTTTATTGGTTTTAGAGAGGGAAGAAGGGAGAGAAGGGGGGAGGTGTAGAGAGAGAGAGAGAGAGAGAGAGAAAGAAAAAGAAAAAGAAAGAAAGAAAGAAAGAAGGTGAAAAGAAAGAAAGAAAAAGAGATTGTGGATCAATTCCACAACCTGGGTATATGCCCTGACCAGGAATTGAACCCATGACCTTTCGGTGTAATGGGACGACGACACTCCAACCAAGGAAAGAAAAAGAGATTGTGGATCAATTCCACAACCTGGGTATATGCCCTGACCAGGAATTGAACCCATGACCTTTCGGTGTATGGGGACGACGACACTCCAACCAACTGTTGCCACACGGTCCAGGGCAAGAGTCCTCATTTTTATAATTACCTCTCTTTATTACCTCGCCAAGCAATATATACTCTGGGAAGGCAAGCTTTTTTAAAATGTTAAAACCCATCTTTAATGGTAAATCTGTCATCACCCAGCACCATCATCTCCTATTCACAGTTACCTATGCAGTCTTAAAAAAATATGCCATTCATAAGTCTGTATTTTTTGAAACAGATACATTTTGTAGTGTCTGTAGTGTCTGATTTATTTAAAGATTGTGGAGGACTGGGGGCTGGTTTGTGCATTCAGTGATAAGCAGGAGAAATTGTTAAGGTGTTCTCAGTCTATATGGGACAAATGTGTACACAAAGTACATGGTGTGAATGAACAAGTTACAAAAGAAATACTGAACATGATTATTTTAAAAAATTTTTGCCACTCTATTGGCAACAGAAATTCTTTTTTTAAATTGTATTTCTTTGATTTGGGAGATTGAACATACTTTGAATTTTTTTTGCCATTTAATTGTGTTTTTTAATAATTTCCTGATGGGGTTTTTATTTTGTTTATCTGCAACAGTAATTTATGTTTAGTTATTGATTTGTTGATTCTTTCACTTAACAAATATTTGTCTTCTGTGTGCCAGTCTCTATTAGATGCGGAGAGGAGCAATAGTGAGCAAATTAATCCCTGCTCCCAGAGCTCACATCCCACTTGGAAGGCAGACATCAGGAGCCACACAGAAGTAGAGGTTATGAGAAAAGGCATTTGATACTATGAAACCTTTATCATAAAGGGGACCTTTCTTTAAAAATTTTTTTAAATTGATTTCAGAGAGGAAGGGAGAGGGAGAGATAGAAACATCAATGATGAGAGAAAATCATTGATTGGCTGCCCTTTGCACGCCCCCTACTGGGGTTCGAGCCTGAAACTCCAGGCACATGCATGTGCATATGCCCTGAGGGGGAATTGAACCTGTGACCTGGTTCAGAGGTCGATGCTCAACTACTGAGCCATGCCTGCCGGGCATAAAGGGACCTTTTCTTAAGGTAGTATGTGCAGTGTCAAATTTTTGTCTAAAGAGTCATATTTGAGATGTGATTTGAAGTATGACTATTATCTAATGCAAATAGTTTTTCCAGTTTCTTTGTAGTGGTGGCTTGTTTATAGTTTTGTTCTTTAGTTTAAAATATTTGTTTTTTCAAACTCAGGATGATGAGATAAAGAATAACTGGGGTTTTACTTGAATGGCCAGGAAGGCTTTTTCTGGGAGATGGCATATAAGTGACACCTGAAGGGTGAGAAGGAGCCAGATCTGCAAATGGCTAGGAGAAGAACATTCAGAAGAGGCACTGCTAACTCAACCTTAGGCAGGACAGAGCTTTCTGGGGGTTTCCAGAAAGTCAGCAAGAGCACAGAGGGGTTGGTATGAGATGATGATGGAGAGGCAAATGGAAGCAAGGTGCCACAAAGCCATCTCAATGTAGCATCTTATTTCTCTACTACATTGGGAAGCGATGGAAGATTTTAAGCAGGGTACTGATGAAACCTTTCCTTTTTTCTTATAATTAATTTTTATTTTTAGCAAAGTAGTCTTTGTAACTTAATAAAATGACACAAAATATACTTATTGAAGAATTACAGTCATTTGCCTCAGGGGTAGTGAAACTCAACTACTTATTTTGATGATATTTCTGAGTAATATACTTATGCAGTTATTTGTTTATCAACTTCAGTCTATCGTATTCCTGATATGGTAGTTGACTACGCATTCATAGTTTCTCATCTGAGAATCTTGGGGTCAGATTTGCTTTGGAATTCAGGAGTTTTGGATTTTAGAAAGGTAAATGGTCTATGTATACCACACATTACACAATATCTCTGGTAGACTCTTGAGCAGTACTATGCTTTTGGGCAGTAGAGACTGTGATCAAACATGTTAATACTTAACAGCAAGATACATAAATAGTCATGCTAACTGGGATATATAGAAATTATGTATTGCTTCATATAAATTCAGGTTTTGTTTTGCTGTTAAATACATTTGTTGCTAATGAAAAATTGTCAGGTGGTTGTGTTTTAGAGCTTTACTGGATTTTTGGAATTTCAGATAAGAAATTGTGGATTGGCTTTTTTATCCCCTCTTCTTCCAGTGCACACTCACATACCCATAGCCATTACATACACATGTGCATGTGTGCTCTTTGTACCTCCAATATAATTATGTCTTCTGTTGTTAAGTAGGTAGTCAGTATTTACATTATTTTGATTCATGACTGATCCAGGTATAGTTTGTATAGGGTTTTGTTTTTTGTTTATTTGTTCTGAGTTACTTGCCTTCTTTTTATTTGCTTTGTTTTTTACACACTGCTATGTCTCCCCAGATACTACAACAGAAGTATAAAATTTCTCTTATTTTTTTCTTCACCTGTTGATTTTTCTTTTTGGGGTGCCTGTTGACATGTTGGGTGTTATGTTGATGCTGGTTGTTTTTTTTAATCTTTGTTTTTAAGTTAGTTTTTATTTGTTTGAGGCACTAATGTTGGAAGCTTCAGCATCAAATATCTGGTGATTCTGGACTACCTTTTTATATTTAAGAGTGATGCATTAAAAAGCAGGACCAGTCTTATTTCAGGACTCCTCAAATTGCAACGTGGATTTGTTGGCCCTCCATGCCCTCCACTCCCATTATATAGTTTTTCTAGAAAAGGTTCTCCATTTCTTGCCTGGAAATTTTTTTATTGCCTGGTTACATTTTGGGAGCTGGGCTAGAGAAATGAGTTGATGATCCCATAGTGTTAAGATATAAAATGATGAAATTCTAGAAATTATAAATATATGAGATTTTTTGTTTTCAGCCTCTGCCCTGCTCCTACCCTCTCCTGTGCTTGGTATCCCTGAACCCAGTCACTTTGGGGAGAGTAGGTAGAAGGTACAGACACTTGGCTATGTGGAGTTGGGGAGCAGGCTGAGGGCAGAGGGTAGTTGGCCCCCCCTGCCCTATACTCAGACTCTGACCAACTGCCTTTGTGAGCACTGTGCCTGACTGCTCTCCCCAAGGAGCCTCTGATTGACTTCTTAGGAGACATTTGCTCAATTCTTGTGTGTTTTCCTCTCAGGCACATGGGTCTCGGTTTCTCTGCTCTGTTGAGTTGCTCCTTTCACTTTCTGTCTTTCAGATACCTATTGAACTATTTGATCTTGTTTGCCTTCTTTAGTTTCATTTTTTTGTGGATAAATAGTACCTTTTTAATTTTTTGCTTCATTTTAGTAGGGTTAGCAAGAGAAAGTTGGTAAATGTGCAGGATCAATTTGCTATGTTAAACCTATAGTAATTTTTACTGTATAAATTTTCTTTATAAAAAGATATCTCAGATTGCTGTCTGGAGAAGGGAATTGGATGATGGGACAAAGTAGAAATTCTACTTTGTAGTAACATAGATGCCAGTTACGACAAGATTTCGAGAGGTGTCTTGGAAAGGGCCACAGCAATGGAGTGGAAAGAAGGATATACCATGTGCATGGAGGCAAAACTGACAGGACTTGGCGGACCGTGTGTACATGCATGTGCATACCCACACTTGGGCAGGGAGAATGGAAGAGTCAAAATTGCTGACTTAGTTCGGAATGAATGGTGTTGCCATATTCTATGTTGTGATACAGGAAAGACTGGAGGAGGATCAGGCTTTTGGGAGTGGGGCTGTCAGGAATCACAGCTTCTGTTTTCTGCATGTTAAATTTGAGATGCCTGAGACATTTAGGTAAAGATGTTATGTAGGCATTTGCATAAGCAAAATTAGAGTTCAAAGACATTTGAACTAGAGACCAAAAAATTGGCAGGTGTTGCTAGTAGATGAAAACATCCAAGTAGAAAGAGAGAAAAGAAGAGGACTAACAGACCTCCAGGAAGAGGCCCGAGAGGTGGGAGAAAAGCCAGTGTGGTGTCACAGGACAGTGGGGTGAAGTGTGCTTTAAGGCAAGGCTTGGTGAGGGTGTGGACTGCACACTTGGCATTTTGTGCCTGTGGATAAGAAGATAAAGGTGAATGCAGTAATGACAGGTGGTTCTTGACTTAGCATGGCAGGCTTTTCCTTCCTTCAGAATATTTATTGGTACATCTTTTTCTGTCACCCTCTTGGACATTATTTTGTACACATCCTTAGCAGAAGTGATGTTGGCACATAACAGGCACTTCATAAATAACTACTTGTTGAAGGAAGCCAACCTGCCCACTACTGACAAATAGTAGTGGATGACCATCTTTAGGTGAATACGCTGCAGGGGCCATGAGCTTTTGTTGATTTACCTAAATCACCTGTTGCAAACTTCAAAAATGTTCTTTTACAAATTACGTTAGAATTTTGTAAATATAGCATAGTGATTTTAATTGATTTATTTTATATATTGATTTATTTCATATATACCATGTTGGTACAGAAATCTAGTCCGGAACAAATAGTATTTCTCCAGGTACTTAATACATTGTAGATACTTGGCGCAGAAAATGTTTGAGTGTCTATTTGTGTGAAACCACAGCTGTGAAAGATGGGGCGTGGTCTCTGTTCTCATGGGACTTCAGACATTAAACTTGGTTTTGCTTTTGGAACTCTACATCATTGTTCACATATATTAACTTTATTTTTCACCTTCTTTAGAGCATTTGATTTCAGTTGTTTTTCCAGATGTACTTCACTGTTCGTTTATGTGTTCGATGTTTAAGGGACAAGCTTTGGAGCCCAAACAGGATGTTTTCCAAGGCCAAGAAGCAACAGTAATGATGGATCAGAAGGCAGCATTTTATGGGCAGATGTATCCAGCACAGGGGACTCCAATGCAAGGAGGCTTTAATCTTCAGGGACAATCACCATCTTTTAACTCTATGATGAGTCAGATGAACCAGCAAGGCAATTTTCCTCTCCAGGGAATGCATCCTAGGGCCAACCTCATGAGACCTCGGACAAACACCCCCAAGCAACTTAGAATGCAGCTTCAGCAGAGGCTACAGGGCCAACAGGTAACCAGTCACATGCTCTGCCTTGACCAAAGCGGCTTTACCTTTGGCCTCCTCTTCTTCAATTGTTTGTGTTCTTCAGGCCTTGTGTCACTGGCTCTCTAACTCTTGTCAACTAAAATTCCTTTTGTTTTCACTTCTGTGTAACATTTTGTTTGTATAGATGGTTTCTTGTTAGGGGCTGTGTGCTAGAATTGGGTACTTTTTTATAAGAATAGTCTGATGTACATGTTAAAAAAGTCAGTTTCAGAGAGGATTGCTCTTGGGAGAGAAAAGTATTTCTAAGTGACTTTGTAGTCCTGGAGGTAGATAACTTCTATTTTTAAAAGTTCGTAATAGTAATAACCAAATATTTAACCCTGAATGATTTCAGCATTCTTAAAGATTTATTTTTTTATTTATTTAGAAAGGAAAAGAGAGGGAGGGAAACATTGATGTGAGAGTGAGACATTGATTGGCTGCTTCCTGCATGCCCCCTACTGAAGATTGAGCCTTGAAACCCTGGCATGTGCCCTGACTGAGAATCAAACTGGCAACCTTTTGGTGCACAGGATGATGTCCAGCCAACTGAGCCATACCGGCTAGGGCTGAGCATTCTTTTTATGGAATCTGCTTTCTAGATGTTTTATAAAACTTGAGCTCTCTTAATATGCTAAGATAGGACATTTTTCTCATTGTTTCTTTAATCCCCAACAACTATTTTAAAACTTAAGTGTTTGTATTGTTTGCATTGCGGTGTGCTGAGTTATCAGAGGTGGCAGACTGAACCATATAAACAAGCGAGTGAATGAGTTTAGAATCCGGTGAGCCAGGCATGCTTCTAGTGTATGAGTATTCCTAAAAGTCAGTTTAGTGCTCAGGAAAGCTGTATTGTGCTCATGGTATCATTTTACTTTCTACAATTTCTTTCTAATAAAATTTACCTAGGAAAAGATAACAGAAGGGGTAGTTTATTCAGGGTTACTCTGACAAGTTAAAGCTGTTTCCCCAGTTGCCTAAACAATCCCAGAGAACATCTGACTTCACAAATCCTTTGCGTTCCTGTTGAAGATCCTCTTTAAGCTGCAAAATTGCACTTACACTTTTCCTTCTGATGCCAAACAATAAAGTTTCATATGCTTGCTAGCCAAAAACTTTTCAGCATGAACTTTATCAAGTGTGGAAGTGTACTGGTTCAGCTTAGATGGACTTACCCAGGCTAATTGGAAATACCATGGTATTGAACATTTGGAAATACCCTGGGTAGTGTTGAGGACTTGGAAAGGCATTAACATGTTCCATTTGCATCCTAACCAACCTGTCTCTCTCCAGTTTTTGAACCAGAGCCGGCAGGCACTGGAAATGAAAATGGAAAACCCCACTGCTGGTGGAGCGGCGATGATGAGGCCCATGATGCAGCCCCAGGTGAACTCCCAGGTAAGAACAAGTTTCTCGATGTTCAGTTTCACTGTCCTATGTCCAGCACAGGGTCTGGTGTGGCCTGTGCTTGGCTCTCATAAATGTTTATTAAATAAAGTAATTCCAAGTTTTTTTGTGTAAGAAACCATCCCGTGGTCTCATCACACTTTTTCTTTCATTCTTTGCTCTTGCTGTTGACTGGGAAGAATTAGAAGAGGAAGGTTCTTTTATCAATACCACTGATTCGTGTTTTTTTAAATTAATTCCCATTTGCAGTCAATTGCTGTATTGTGAAAACAGCTGTCACTTCTTTTTAGGAATTTAAGATAATCTGTAAACTTTTCTCTGTTCTTGGATTATGAAACCATATGCTTCCCGGGCAACATTTGAAATTGTAAGAATAATAAAGAAGAAAATAAGTAAAACATAATCTTACTCTCGCTAATAACCTCTGAGATGATCTATTCCCCATAGAGGGAGGGATGATATTAAAGTTCTACCTCCAGTCCAAGGTGGAGACTGTATTAAGGTATTTTCTTAATGTGCACAAGGCAGAGGATAACACAAAAACCCTTTACTGTGGCCTGAAATGCTGTTCATAATTATTAAAAAACAACAGCGAAATGCTCTGTTTTCACTGTCTAGGTGCACTTGGAAGTACTGATATCTGTATTTCTTGATAATCAGACATCCTGTATAAGCTAAGCTAGGGTGCCCTCCAAATCAGTAATAAAGGTTTGCTTTTGGAGATGGTGTCTCCCAGCTGGTAGAGCACCAACCAGCTTCCTTGTTTAGTGCTTTGATCCTGTCACCGCCGGATTTCCAGATAGCTTCTCCTTGCCTCTGCCTCCTCTTTCGGAGGTTTAAAGTGACTGTAAGACTACCTGGCATGGATTCCTGCTTTCCAAGTGTAACCCCGTTCATTTTTTTTCTCCCCTTGTTTCAAATCCCCTTCTCCCCAATACACTCTCAATCCTGCCCCTTTTCATTTTGTATTTTTTTTTCATAGTTTCTGAAAAGTTTGAATGTTATCTATTTAAAGCTTGACAACTGTCTACTTTCATCTCCTGACCCCAAATAATTTCTAGGTCCCTCTTCTGCAAATCTTCACCCTCCTACCCATAGAAAGCCTTGATCATGATGAGAATTGTACATTTTTCCTTTTTTGTAATTACATAGAAAGGCATTGGGTTTTTTTTCTCTCTGATACCTGATGTTTTTTGTGGGGGTACTATATGTATGAAACCGGCTGGTTCTTGCTCTGTGTGTGTAACTGATTCTTTCTTGGGTATTAGCAGGGGTTTCTTAATGCCCAGATGGTTGCCCAGCGCAGCAGGGAGCTGCTAAGTCATCACTTCCGACAGCAGAGGGTGGCGGCGATGATGATGCAGCAGCAGCAGCAGCAGCAGCAACAGCAGCAGACCCAGGCCTTCAGCCCACCCCCTAACGTGACCGCCTCCCCCAGCATGGATGGGGTTTTGGCAGGGCCTGCCATGCCACAGGCTCCACCCCAGCAGTTTCCATATCAACCAAATTATGGTAAATTTGACAATGAAAATGTCTGTCCCAAAGTAATATTACTAAGGACTTAAGACTTACTAGATCTGATGCTTATTAAGAACAAAAATACTATTCACTCCCTCTTGTTATTTCACAAGAAAAATGTAATTAAAAATAACAGAACAAAAATGTCTACTGCATTGCACAGGTAATTGTCATTGAGGTTGATAGTTTGTCATAGTTGAGTATGTTTTTCCAGGTCTTGGTTTTTTTCCCCCCGCTCTCCATATCTTAATTTGGAAAACTACCAAGGTGTTACCATGTTCCCCCCAATATGTCTCTACAGTCTCTGAATGCTTGGTCAAGTCAGAGAGAGTGGTGTGTTGTGTGGGCTTTTGAGTTCCTTTTATCGGTGACTGAGACATCTATTCTATATACATATCCTATATAATAAAAGGCCAGCAGCCGAAACGGCGTAACGACCAATCGACCAGTCGCTATGAGGTGCATTGACCACCTCTCGGTCCCTCCCCCCAGCCTGCAGGCTCCAATCGCTGGATGGCCAATGGGGAACCGGGGGGGTGGTGGCGGGGTGGGACTGGGGACTGGCGAGTGGGCGGAAGATGGCCCTGATTGCAGGCTAGGTCTAGGGACCCTACCCTCGCATGATTTTGTGCGCTGGGCCTCTAGTATATATATAAGGTCAGCCGGTCGCTATGATGCGCACTGACCACCAGTGGGCAGGCACGCTGCTCAGCTGACCAACGGGTGCCAGGCGCAGGGCTCATGGCTGGCCGCCACAGCTTGGAGACCACAGTGGAGTGGCAGCGAGCCTACTGAGAGTTGACGGCGGTGGCGGCAGGGGCAGTGGTGCTGGGATGAGCAGGAGTGGCAGGCTGTGTTGGACTGCCCGTTTCTGCCCGATTCCCGCAGGCCATGTTGAGGGACCCCACCGGTGCATGAATCCATGCACTGGGCCTCTATCATTACAATAATGCTTATACCTCTTGGAGATAGTGGTATCTACTGAGGAGATTACATTCCAGAATGCACCCCTGCCAGTTGGGGACAACAGCTCTTCTGCCCTCTAAAGAGGGACAGAGTAATGTGAGTAGTGTAATATGGAGTCCCTTTTATACAGAGAGCTTACTGAAGTAACTACCCTTTAAGTCAGTGGTTCTCAACCTTCCTAATGCCACGACCCTTTAATACAGTTCCTCATGTTGTGGTGACCCCCAACCATAAAATTATTTTTGTTGCTACTTCATAACTGTAATTTTGCTACTGTTATGAATCGTAATGTAAATATCTGATATGCAGGATGTATTTTCATTGTTACAAATTGAACACAATTAAAGCATAGTGATTAATCACAAAAACAATATGTAATTATATATTCAATATGTGTTTTCCGATGGTCTTAGGCGACCCCTGTGAAAGGGTTGTTCAACCCCCAAAGGGGTCTCGACCCACAGGTTGAGAACTGCTGCTTTAAGTGATCTAGGGCTAGGCAGTGTGCTTTTCGGTAGTAAGCCTGTTACTCTAGTTGGTGTCTTGGTGAGAAGCAAGAATAACTGGCAGGCAGCAGCCTGTAGCACTCGGTGTCTTTTTTTTTAAAATATATATTACTGATTTTTTACAGAGAGGAAGGGAGAGGGATAGAGAGTTAGAAACATCGATGAGAGAGAAACATCCATCAGCTGCCTCCTGCACACCTCCTACTGGGGATGTGCCCGCAACCAAGGTACATGCCCTTGACCGGAATCGAACCTGGGACCCTTCAGTCCGCAGGCCGATGCTCTATCCACTGAGCCAAACCGGTTAGGGCAACAGTCGGTGTCTTATACTTGTGACCTTCCCCTGCTTTCAAAAAAAAGAACATAAAATTACTATAGAAAGCTGATGTTCTAAGGAGTAGCATTTGAGCATTGTAATTTTTTCTTTCTTTTTTAAAGGAATGGGGCAACAACCAGATCCAGCCTTTGGTCGAGTGTCCAGTCCTCCTAATGCAATGATGTCATCAAGAATGGGTCCCTCCCAGAATCCTATGATGCAGCACCCTCACACCGCACCTATGTATCAGTCCTCGGAAATGAAAGGCTGGCCATCAGGAAACCTGGCCAGGAACAGGTGAAGAACAAGGACTTTAAAAGCAATTCGTATTCTAGTGCCAAACATTTAGATGATCTCTGCATTTTTGAGTTAAGTCTGTTTGAATGGAGAGATCAAAAGGCCTGGGTTCATATTGGAAAATGCTGTTTGGTGCATCCATTATGTGAGTCCTTCCTCCCATGCATGTATCTGTGACAGCATTGAATACAGACAGCTGTGAAAAAGAGGGCAGGCTGTCCGGGAGTTTCCTCTCATGTCCTCTGCTTAAGTACGGTGACATTTGGCAAAATTGTGATAGTCTCTGTGTGTATGTTCTGTGTTACTAAAATGACTCAGGGTAATTTCACATTTCCTTTGCAGCTCCTTCCCCCAGCAGCAGTTTGCCCACCAGGGGAATCCTGCATATAATATGGTGCACATGAATGGCAGCAGTGGTCCCATGGGACAGATGAACATGAACTCCATGCCCATGTCTGGCATGCCCATGGGCCCTGAGCAGGTATGGGATCTGTTTTTCACTTTCTCGAAATGTTTTTCTTGATATCTGGAAGGAACCCAAGTCTCAACTGTAATCTAAATTCCTAGGTAGATTTTTAACTTCGATGTAAAACTTAAAAATATAGTCACTGAAAAAATTTTTGGCTTGAAGGCATTGGGCCACTAGATACTTTTGATAATTTGAGATTTAAGGAATCTGACTCAGTCAGCCAGAACCATGTTGCAAGCCATCAGTGTAGATATAGGGATTTATTTTTTCTTATGCAGTGTTTTCACTCATGTTTCTTTTGGTTGCTAACAGAAATACTGCTGACATCTCCACACCAGGACTTCTGAAGAAATCACTGTACAAATGACACTGCACTAGGATTATCGGGAGTAAAGAATCATTATTCTAGGCACCCAGCTTTGAAGAAAGGACCAGCTTTGATCTTCATCAAGGGTATTCCAAGTGATGTCATTTGAATAGGACTGGATTTTAAGCTGAAGTGCGATACCCCCCCCCCCCCATGTATCATGGTGTTCAAAACAAATAGTTTTGGCATTCTGCTTCTTAGGGAGATGGTTCTGGAGGTAACGGAGTGTTATTGATCACAAAACACTCCTTTGGCCCTCTGTCTGCCTGGCTATTCAGTACAGGACGTTGGAGAAATCAGGAGACATGAGAACATCTGGTTTCTCTAGTTGCAGTATTGGAGGAAGAGCACGTGCCAGCCTTCATTTGTTTTTGTCACTGCCAGGTAGTTCTGTTTCGTAGGGTTGGCATTTCTGAATTCTCTTTTAATGATAGTGTTGAGTTGCTCCAACCCTATTCTTGGTTGTCCTAGGCTTTAGTTAGGCTTTTTATTTCCTCCTAACGTTTTGTCATACTTCACCTCCAGGAATTCTCCTTGATGTCAAATGGCCTTGTAGAAGGGGAAATGAGATGACAGTATTTAATTGCAGCAGTAGCAACTTTTCACATGCTAACGTGCCGCCGAGTGCACTTTATTTAAAAAATAGTGGATAAATGCAATATTCTTGAGGTCTTGAGGAATGGTGAATCACATTCCTGGTTTTTGTCTAATCTGTTGGATAAGAACTATGATTTTGTTGTTGTTGAAAGTACTGGTGTCACCGTTTGCCTATATGGTAGAGCAATAACGCTTTTTGAAAATAAACTGCAGAAAACCCAAGGCCAGGTACTGCATTCTGAATCAGAATTTCGCAGTCTTTCTGTGAATAGATTTTCTTTTGTAAATATGACCTTTAAGATATTATATCATGTAAAATATGTATATACTTTTTTTGTAGGTCACAACAGCTCATTTTTACAGAGTTTGTGAAGCTAAATATTTAACATAGTTGATTTCAGTAAGCTCAGCGTGGTGAGGTTACAAATAGAAGAGACATCCCTGAATTTTTTGGCCTGGGGGACAGGACAGCGATCCAAAGCTTTTCCTTCTCTCCAGCCTTAGATGCCTCGCTCTTTTCAGTCTCTTAATCTAAAAGCTTTTTAAAGAGATCATTTGTTTAGATGTAGGCATTTACATTTTTTTTTTAAATTCTTCTACCAGAACTAAGCACTTTGTTAATTTTTGGGGAAAGAATAGACATGGGAAAATAAACGTTTTAAAAAAAGGTATCAAGAATTTAAAAATATTAAGCAATTTGATTTAAAGTGGTCCATAAATAAAACAATAACAATTCATGGTTTTTTTTTTTTAATTGGTGTCTTTTTGTCCACTTGAGGATTGCTCTAGGTTTTGGTTTCTAGGACCTGAATCCCAATTGAGCTCTCAGGAGTGGAATCCTTGATGTGTGGTTTCCGATGTCTGCTCAGCTGTGCTGTCATTCACTAACATGATGCTTTCACCATCCCTGAGAATAAGAGTTGTGTCCTGGTAATTTTCGTAAGGACTCGGCCCCGGGAAGCCAGTTTTGCATGATTCAGAGCTGCAGTCTGAGCACTGCTGCACTCCCTCCTTCTGCTACCCCTGCCCTTGTCTGCTGTCACCACTCCCTGACACTTGTCAGTTGGGAGTAGAAAAAAAATCAGATTTAATTCCCTGTATCTGGTTTACTTTATTAGGTTCATATAATTGAATGAAATTGGGTTTTTGGAATATCTATGAATTTCAAATGTCTCTGTTAGCTTTGGTGTCACATCCTAGCAATAATTGAGAGCCAGTTAATTTTTATTTCACACACATTGAGCTAATCTTTCTAGGTGCCTCTAAGGTAAGATCATTTAATTTCTTTATGAATAAGTGAAATCGGTATTTCCAGAACCACCACTAGAATGGATTTGAATCTGACACCCCATTCCCTCCTGCCCCGTTAAAAATAAATCTAATATTGTAAATCCATCAACTTCCATCATAGTGGCCTGTACTTTTCAGATAACACATCCTCCTGTCTGGAGACAGAGACATAACTAAGTGTCTGTCTTTTTAGACACAGTTGTGTGAGGTATGTCTGAACCTTTCTTGTTTAAGTTGTGTGTGCGTGAGAGAAACAGAATGGTGCTCTTACCTTTCTTGACTTTTAAAAAAGAACAAAAAGTTTTGTGATTCTTTTCCTTAGTCCTGGCTCCAGGCTAACGAAGGCAGCACCCCTTTTTTATATGAAAAAACAAAAGTTATAAGTTTTTATATTTTCTACTTGTTCATTTTATTGGTGCAAACTTAAGATTCTGATTTTCTTTTAATAGATGCAGTCTTTGAGATAATTTGTTGTTTTTAACCTTTATTGCCCTTTTATCTTTTTTGGATAATTCTTTGTACTCCTGCTGCCTACCTCTCCTCTCCCTACTTTTTTAAACCTTGGTATTTGTTGGGTGAACAGTATAAGTAATCTTTTCATCAGCTTTTAGAATGTGAGATATTTCCAATATACCTTTTTTGCTGAATCCAAAGATATATATATATAATATATTTTTAAAGATCAAAATGATATAAAGGAGGTACATGTTTCTTCCTTTAAAAAAACAAAGAGAGATTGTTAATGTTCATATTATGATGTCACTTTTCTAAGTTGTACATCTTGATGGAAAGGTGTAAATATCAATCAGTAAGACTGCTTAATCCTATTCGCTCCCCGAGGTGAGTTGCGGGTGTAGAGGGGAGGTACTGTAGAACATTGGTTTGCTGTCCTAAAAGTTCTTTGATCCAGAGATAGATGCAGCTGGAAAGTAACAGAATGCATTGCCCGTTACCCATATGCCTGTCCAGTTCCCTTTTTATTTGCAGAAGCCATGAGTTTGTTCCCAAGTGGGAGATGCAGAGGAGCAGGAGCTGCTGTTGAGCCCAAGGCAAACTGTTTAATGAGCAGGGTGTTCTTTTTTCCTTCTTTCTCTTCTTCTCTTTCCAATGTATGGGATTTTGAAGATGGAAATGTCATTCTGAGAGCAATATTTAAATTCTCAGGAATTGACTTAAAGTGTTGAGAATGAATTCAATCAAGTTTACATTAAATGTTGTTTTTTAAAGAAATCTAAACCATCCTTTAAACTGCAAAGACTCCAGACCACGTGGGATAACTTATGAGATGGTTGTGTGGTAAGCTATGACTGTTTTGCTGATCATTTGGGTGTCATTGTAAATAAAGGTTTCTATTTAAAATTGAAGCCAAAGAGCTTGCTTTATTTATTTAAAGAAAAATCCTTATTGGATTAAGGGTGAAAAAGAAAGTTAAGGACTCTTATTTCAAATAATAGTAGCTATATCTGTGAGGTTAAAATAATCTCTCCCCCCCCCCCCCCCCAAATGCTGCTTATTGTGTGCAGCAAAACTGGAGATTATACTCTTCAAACTCGTTCCAAAAAGAAATCTTGAAAAGCATGGAATTGTTCTTACAAAAGGTGAGCTCTAAGGGATCATCTATTGAATGAGAAATGGGTTGGATCAGTTGATGGCTGAGGTTCCTCCTGTTTCTAGCAGCTATCTTCACCAGGTTAGAAAAGGGTTAGCAATTGCTTTGCATTTGATTTAACACATTTTAAAAATGAGGTCCTAAAGCTGGTGTAATGTGAGACTTACCTGTGAGTTCCTTGAAATATGGTAAATTTTAGTCGTTAATTTGTAACCTCTGTTCTCCCTTAAAAACCCACTCAAGTCCAGGGTGTCTCCTTTGAAAAAGCTGTTGACTGGTGGTGTCTTGAGTGATTTCAAGGGGGAAAAAACCCACAAAAAAAAAAACAAAACTCCCCAGAATAGCCTTTTACAAAATGTCAAAGGTTACCTCATACTGACTTCTGGTCATTGGCTGAAGTTCTGAACATTGTATGACACTACTTAGACTACAAAATTTCTTTACAAATACAACTTCATTAAAATGTGGGATTGTACATCAACTTCATTTCTTTTCAGTACTTCAGAAAACATTGGTTCTGGGAGAGAGAACACAGGCATAGGGGCCATGGTACCTGGTTGGGAACAGAACTGTCCACACTGCAGGGCTTTTCTCTCACACTGGCCACAGTGTTTATTGACACCACCACGCTTCAAAACTGGGTTTCTTCTTAGATCCCCTAAGTTCCACGCTGGTTACATGTAAATAGTCACATATTTACAGTGAAGTCCGTTTCTTCAGAGGCAGCCAGGGCTCTAGTGCTAGGTAAGTGTCACTTCTTTGTGCTATTGACTTGCTATCCGACTGTGCACCGTCCAGCATCTGCACGTTGCCTCTGTCCTGCCTCTTAGTTCGTTCTTCGTGACAAACCAAAAGATAAGAGGATTTAAAATAGGGTTGGTCTTCCCCTGTGACTTAAAAAAAAATATTCCAGTGACTTTTCACCTTTGGGGAAATTAAAAAAAAAAATCTCTCTTTGTTCTTTTTCCCTTGTGAGCCTTGGAGAGGGTTAGTGGTGACTTTGATATGAAAATGCATTTTGTGCAGCTGGTGAGGTACAATCCAAAGCAAAAGCAAGGGCAAAAATGGACTTCCTGAAGTAGCACTACTCGTGGTAGTTCTCTTCCAGAATTTGCCATGTTGACTGAAAGCAAGTTCTGTGTCTCTCAGGTCTCCTGGCTAACAGCATAGTCTGCCTGGAATCACACAGGGTTTTGCATTGTCTGGATGGTCAGATGATGCCTCTGTTTGGGAGGTCCATCCCATGCTGCTTAGCCTTCCCAGCCTTCCCACAGTTGTCCCCTGTGGAATAAAGCAGACTTGCCTCAGTATTTGATTGTCATGCTGCTATGATTACTCAGTCCTACAGCTGCGCCAGCTTTGCTTCAAGGATGTGGCTGCTGAGAAGGAGTATTTCTAGGTCCCTCAGACCAGGCTTGCTACCACCTCATATCTACATTGTCAGTTGTTGGCATTTAAAGATAGGGGTAGAATAGTGGCCAAGGAGAATATGAGAGAGAAAGATTATGTGCCTTAATTCTGGGAGCACCAGAGACATGCTTAGTTGGCCCTATTAAAGCTGCATAGGCTTCTCTGCACATAAGGAAAGAAATGAACAGGCAGAGGTTGCAAATGGCAGCTCATCAAGGCGTTTTGTCTGTCTGCATGGTAACTTAATGTCAAATTAGTTGCCAATGTTAAAAAAATTCTCACACATATTTGAGTTTCTGGATTTCCCTGATGAATCAGAGGATTTTAAATTACATTGCATTTGTGCCTTTCTCTTTAGACTAGAGGTGACCTTTCGAGGTTCCAACAGTCTCTCAGCCCCCTGCCAGCCTCTAATAGCACTGGAGTGTGCAGCACGGACATTTTGGTAACGATATAATGAAGCTGCCCAGCTGATGTTATATAAGGACCAGGTAACACTTTTGCAGCCACAGCCTTCAAGGTGTCTGGCAGTTACAATATTTAAGTGCTTCTCATCTTCTAAGGAATGCCTTGAGTTTAGCAGGCACAGATTATTTGTAGAGAACAACAGTGCATATAGACAGGATATTAACCTAAAACATGAAATGTACTCAAGGATGTTACTTCACAGGAAAGACATACAGTACTGTTTCCCCTCTCATTGTAGGAACAAATGAGAGTAATATGTAATTGGCATGCACACAGAATAGCCTTAGCAAAACGAAGCAAGCCAGAACCAGGTCTCTATTTGTAAACTGGTTCCTCAACTCACAGTGATTTGGAAGAAGGTCTCTTCATTTCTGGCCACTTTCGACGCTGAAACTGCCTAAGTTTTCAAGTGTCAAAAGGAGAATGAGTGTTAACCATCACCAAGAAAGAAAGAGTTACCCCCAAAGAACAATACAAAGATGGTCTCTTAGGTGACACCTATTACTGGTGGGCGATCCAGGCCCCTGGCAGACCAGAGAAAGGGCAGTCACAGAGGTTAGACTAAAGGATGGGCCTCGACATGGGACCATTCTGAGGCTTTAGAAACAAAACCAAATACCTGTACTGTTCATAGCTTCCTCCATCTTTAAGTCCTAAACAAGAGAAACGAACAAAATAGAAACAGTGAATTTAGAGTAAATATGGAACAAGCAATGAAGAATTTTATAACTGCTTTTTTTTTTTTTTAAACACTGACGGCATTTCGTCACAAACCCATGGTGTTGACAGTGTTCCCTAGGCAGGCAGAGTGGGCTGATTAGGTGAGCTTTCCTGATGCATTCCTTCAACACTGACCTTGGTCATGGTGGGGGAGGCAGATACGGGCACAAACACCTATGCTACAGAAAGCCAAGGGCCCTGAGAAAGGCAGGTGGTGGGAGGTTCGTGTGCTGCTCTTGGCAAGTCCCCTAGAGGATATGGTAGTGTGACCAAGTGCGTGGGCTTTGGAGTCAGCCAACCACTCTACTTATCCATACAGTGAGGACAGCCAGGTGTACCTCCGAGGGTTGTCATAGGGTCATCAGCACAGCGGCTGGCACGTATGACAAGGACAGCAGCACTTGGTGGATGTTGGGAAGGTGACTTTTAGCCATGGTGAGAATTCATCAACTCCTGGTGATTCTAGGTGCACTTTTCGGGTCAGAGTGAACCCAAACTCCTTCCTGCCGGGTTACAGGCCCCGCGATGGGCGTCTACTCACCCAGGTCCATGTTGCGCGTCCGGGGGTTACACTGCTTGTAACCCTTGCAACTCCTCAGCTCCATGAGCTGTACATGTAGCTGATTGAGGACATCCCTGTCCAGTGTATTCACTGCATTCATCAGCTGGTTGGAAGGAAGGTGGGTTATCAGCCAGGTGAGTGCTGGCCCCATACCCCCACCTCTGCTCCCAACCAGGGCACTGACTGCAGGCAGGTCGGGAGTAGCAGGTGCTATGGGATGGTAACCTTTGTTTCTGCAGGAGCCAGTTTGGAACAGTAAGGACTACTTTTTGCCTCTAGCCCCATCAGGCTCTCATTTCATGAGGATAAAAACTCATGTGTAAAATCACCTGTGTGCTTAACACTGAGCCCCTGGAGCCACTGGTTAGGAAACTGCCTTTAAGCAGCCTTCCATCACAGTCCCTGGGTCCCTGCCTAGTCTGGGAGCTACCGATGACTGAGTAACCTACATGCTCTGCCAAGCCCTTTTGTAAACACAGGGATGACCTACCTAAGGAGAAAGACTGGCAGACCATAGAATGGCTGGCATTTAAAAGTCAGATTTCATGTAAAAAGTTGACTTCAGCCTTCTCTTGGAACACTGGAGACCAGCAGGTGCCAAGGCCACACTGCTGAGAAGCTGTAGTGCTGAGCTCAGTAGTGACCGTCCATTGAGGTAAGACATGCTGGTTCCACTCACCAGACTCTGTGGCTCCTCTTTGTCTTACGTGTTTTGGGCCACAGGTGATTTAATATATGGAAGCACCTGACACATAGGGAGTGCTGCATGAGTGCTTGCTATTGTCCCTGCAGGCACCCAACAGGGTTTGGCCTGGCCCTGAGGACCCTACAGTCCAGGAGCCTTCACAAGTTCCCACACAGCCCGCGTTAACCTCACTAGGGAAGAGGCTGTAATAAGGTCTAGGTTGCAGATGCAGGAAGATGGAACCCCGAAGTTCTCCGGGGCTTCACAACTCACTTCTGTCTTAGAGACTCAGATAACTTATCGCTTCTGCATGGGGGCCCCATGCATCTCTCTCTCCAGCGTGGGTTGTCTGTACCTGGTAGGGGTCTGTGTTGAGATCAAAGTACTCGAGGAAGCCGGTTGCAAATTCACAGAAGAGGAAGTTGTGGGTCTCGTTGATTGTCCTCATGCACCAGTACGTGTTGTTGTTGGCGCTGGTGCAGGCACAGAAGGGCCCCACTGCCAAGGGAAGAGAGCATGCCCTGAGTGTGCCTGCAGGAGGAAACCCAGTCTGCCAGCAGGGATTCCTGTCCAGGACGGCCCCCTGAGCCACGGCCTGTTGGGAGCACTTGCTGACCCCTGATGTTGTCAGGGAACCTGTTCCCGAAAGACCTGTAGGGTCTGGCAAGGGGGCAAGCTGAGGTCCTGGAGAAGCCCCTGTGGCCCAAGCTGCCCTGCCGGCCGGCCCCGGGCTTGCTCACGTGTCCAGAGAGGCGCGGTCTGCCAGTGCTGGTTGTCGTGGGTGAAGCATGTGAGGCCCGGCATGCTGCACGTGTCGTTGTTCTGCAGGCGTTTGAGCAGCTTGCGAAGTTTCTTCTTGCGCTTCTGCTCCCGCAACAGCCACACCTTGTCTTTCTCCTGCAGCCCCTTC